AGAGGCGCCGCAGTCCGAGCAAGGAAGGATAATTGGCGGAGGGCACCGCGGTCGCGAGTGACAATGTTGCGATCAAAAGGTTTTTCTTGCAAACGCGGCGGACAGACAGTTGGGGTAAGTTGTGTGAGGTCAGCTGAAGGCCGTAGACTGGGTGACTTGTTCAGTCGATAGTTTCGTGAGTGGTTTGCGGGATACGCAGCGGCACACGGCGGACGAGGTGGGAATAGTGGGGGTTGCTTCCTCCTTTGGTGATTGCCGAGGGGAGCGCAAGTGCTGATTGCTCCCAAAGGCGAATTGTTGGCTCGACGATATCAAAGTCGCAGTAGCAAGTAGCAAGTGACTGCGGCGTTTTGAGGCAGCAGTTGATGCGACTATGAGGTCGAAGCTGAAGTAGAAATTGCTCTTCTTCACCGTCTCTGTATGGATCTGGTTGATGTGGATCTGGCGACCGGGGGCAATGAGACCTTGGGCGGGGAGGCCTAGGTACAAATGGTGCGCATATTGCCCCGACGACAGGGGAGAGGAGAAGCAGACGCGGGGGATCTGGGAGAGGAAATCGTCGACAGGTAGGAGATGATGAGGCTGAAAAATACCAGAGTATTGGTGGTTACTTCGTGGTGTGGTCGAAGATAGGACAAGGCTCAAGACGATGGCGGCGGCAGCTGGCGGTGTGGGAGGGCAAGGAAGCGACAAGATAGTGCCCTGGAGGGGGAAGGTTGCTTGGGTGTCCCGTGTCCGTGCTTGGATTCCCGCGACTTGCAAGTGCAGCTTCATAACAATACTGCGTACATCCGCTGGGATGAAGTGCACTGGTGCACTGTGGGGGGCAGGCACTTCCTTCCATCCATGAAGTGCCATAGGTATTCCGGGCCGCGACTTATTACGCCCACCTTACCTACCTTAATTGCTTAGGTACCTTACCTCAGGTGCCTCCCCGCCTCCCGTTAGGTAAGCGAAGGCATACAAGCATGGAAAGGCATACTCCGTACCCCAGCGAGGTCTAATACCAATCCCTCCTATCTACACCTTGCCTGTCACTATGGCCACAGAGATCGCTGCTGACAGCTGGCTGGTTTACCCATGGCTTGTACTAAAGTAAGGTAGGCTCGTAGTATATTTGCAATCCGAGGAAGTCGACGCAAGCAGCTTGGCTATGAACATTTCTTAAAGTGAATGACGAATACTCAACGGCCTTCATCATTAGTCTTTTACTTTTTCCATCCCAACGTATTATGACCTCAAGGCTCAAGGTACTCTCGCTAGATCCCAATTGCACTTCGGCGATAACACCACCACAGCAAGCACCATCAACTTTTATGCGATGACCTCCGCCGCACACTGCTGGAACCTCCCTCGCTGTAACTCGTCCCAATACCCGAGTCCCCTCTGAACCCCCTTCCGTCATCTTCTTCCTCGTCGTCGGCCTCACCACCGAACGGGAGCAGGTCGTCCACACGAGGCCCCGCGTGTTGCTCATCCTTCACTTCAGGCTCATACCGTAACGGAGCTTGATTCCCATAGGTAGGGAAGGTCCTCGGGGCATCCGACAGCTCATCAATGCCACTTCCATCCTCTCGCTTGATTTGACCCATCGACTTACTGTACGACAAGGCTCCTCCATTATTGACGCCAGAGCCTGGTGACGACCTCGAGAGCCCAGACCATGCCAACCATGCCACCGCCATGAACAGGATCTCGGATGCCCAGAATAACAGGACGGCAGCGGTCAAAGTCATCACACGATAGTTGTACATCAGCCAACGCAAGCCCCGGAGCTGAGCAGTCAGTGTAATTGAGGCAGAGTACGTCTCGATATCCTGGCCGCCCTGAAGCTCGAGGTATGCTGAGGCGGGCAAGGAGGAGCCCTTGGCCAACTCAACGCGCTCGGCCATAGGCACGCTAAGAACGCATGTTTCTGAGTCGGCGAACAAAACATGGTAGGCTAGAAAGAGTATTCGCGACGCCATCGATACCATTGGATCTTGATATGGCACCAAAGCGGGCCGCCGCGAAGACAGAAGAACTCTCTTTCCATCGAAATGGGCATAGGGCTCAGGAGCAATATGAGGCTGTATTTTTTCGCTTCCCGCCGACAAGGCGCCGACGTCCAACAGGTGGATGGCAATCATGAAATTGCCTCGTTGAGTGTTGGCAGGCGAACGGGGCATAGACAAAGTGACGGAGACATCGTACTCCTGCTGCGTCCTTAGAGCAGACGTCGGGATGGTTGCTGTTCCAAAGGGATTCGCTCCTGATCTAGAGGTAGTGTTAGCCCGCAACGTCCTCGTTGTGTTAATCTTGAAGCAGGCAGGGGGCGAAAAATACTCACCCGTACTGGAGATGGACTGGGGTCGTCACTACTTGCTCAGGTAGGTAGTCGCGGAAAAAGAGGACCGAGGCGACAGCAGCAAAGGGCAGCAGAAATAGCGACGTGCCCACGAGGAGGCTCACGTTCACAAGTGTACGCTGTGCAGTCTTGGACGTGGCCACTCGGGATGCCTTGTTCAACACCTCCTATCACCACCAGACTTAGAATCACAGAGCTTGCGAATCATCGCAATACTGGGCAGAGAGCGTACCATTATGTCCGAGAACAGATGTGGCTGTTTGCTGGGCAGCTGAGTTTGGTCAGAATGACTAGGTGAACAAGTCGTGTAGAATGATGTCGTCCGAGTTGAAGCTCGAGCTGCTCTGAGCAAAGGGATGATGATGGTGGGCAAAGTGGCTCAAGCCCCGTTGACTTGGTGTCAGGGTGTGTATCCGTAGCAGTTCAAAGACGTGTGGCGCTGGGCTGACATGCCGCTCTCCTATCCTTCGCCCTCGCCAGCTGGAATTTGCCAATTTCGATGGCTTCCACTAGGTATTGCCTCGGAAAAAAAAGAGGTATCTTGGCAAGGTGTAGAGCTGATGCACATTCATTTGGTTTGGGAGGCAAAAACGCTTCCCTTAAGTTGCATGTGACATTCCCTGCCGCATCAGCTACCCATACCCAATACCAATGCAGAGTACCTTACCTTAGGTAGCATGGGTAGTTACCTACCTTCCCTGACGAAAGGCAAGGTGACGTATCCGTAGTAAGGTAAGTGCCTTCCATGCTGCGCAGGAATACTTTGGGCAAGATATTCCCCGCGGCGATGTATCCATAGGTAAGGTACCCTACACGTGCCTACCTGGCGGAGTACAGTGTGTCCGGTACTCGGTGAAAATGCCCGTGCACAAGGCAACCTAGGAAGGAGGACGAATGCCTTATTTGTTCCTGTAGTGGTGGGCAGGAACAGCCAACGGGCATGCGATGTGCGGATAGGTACAGTGGGGTGCCACAAGTTCGTGTACACCCCACCATTGCCCAACCTCCCGCATTTCCACCACCATACTTCGACTGGCCGCAGAACTGTCAAACTTTTGATTTGTATGGCAAAACTATGGGCAAAAGAAAGCCCTGAGTTTGCTCTTTAGTATCGTGTATACCACCCTTGTGCTTGAATTACTGCCGCAAGTCGGCGCGGGATAGAGTCGATTAGACTCCGAATCTTGAGTTGTGGGATGGCTTCCCACGCCGCTCTTAATTGCACTTTGAACTCTTCTATATCTAACTCATTCCTCCTTAAAGTGAATGCTTCTGGGTATAGTCTACGCAGGTTAGACTTCATCATACGCCAGCAATGCTCAATTGGGTTCAGATCGGGCGAATAAGGAGGCCATTCGAGCCAGGAGATCCCCTGGGCCAATAGCCACTCTGTCGTACGATTTGCCGAGTGAATAGGGGCATTATCCTGGACAAAGTGCCGTGTCTCGTCTGCGTGAGGTAAATACCCTTCCTCTAGGCATTGTATATAGCTGTTTGTACTGTAGACTTGCCGTCGGGAGGCACCGTCGCGAGTGAGAAAGACCAATCCAGAGCGACCATCTTGCCATACCATTGCCCATACCATAATAGATATATTCGCCTTAACGTGGCTCACAAGATTGATGAATCTCTTGCTCCAACGGTCTTGCTGTAACCTGAACACCCACTCTGTTGGGGCAGAGGTGTTGTTCTGGCATGAAGACTCGTCAGAGAACTGGCACTAGATACTCAAGAATTAGAAAATGAATCTCCATACAAGGCCTTGCCACCAAACCACATACTGCCATCAATTCTTCTGGGTTTCGGATCCAGTTTCTTGCAAATTCGAGTCTCTTGGCCGCTGCTTCTGGTGTTATAAAGGGCCGCTTCATAGCTCTCCATTTACGGTAGCTTCCCTTCTTGAGAACACGCTTAACAGTGCGGAGACTAGCTCTGCCTTGCCACTCAGCAGCGAGCTCATGGTACGGTTGCCGGTAGTTGATTCGAACAGATCTGACTAGAGCCCTTTTCTCCGTATTAGAAAGATTCTCTGGCCTTCCTTTCCGGGGCAGCGACTGAAAGCCGTTGCCTTCAGTGTATCGATGAACCGTCTTCTGCACCGTCGAATGTGGCAGGCCGAAGAGCACCGCGACCTCGCGGTAGCTTTTACCAGCCATAACAAACGCGGTAATCGCTACTCGCTGGACTTCTGTGAGTTCATAGTTAGCTCTGTGACTCCCTATTATTCCAGAGCAAAAAGCATGTATTTTGGCCTCCATTTGCTAAAGTTGTGGTATGTGGAAGAAAAAGAGGTGTTGGGGAGAAAACGCGTCGGAACGCGTGGTGGTGGGGTGTACACGAACTTGTGGCACCCCACTGTAGGTATAATAAGTAATGATTCAGTGCAGTCGGAAGTATCACAGTGAGTACCTCACCTACTTACCTGCTGTGCCTCCGGGTGAGGCCAGTGTTCGTTCATTCACATCATTTGACGCGACCCTTGCCATTTCATACTATCTTAATCCATCTACCGCTGCCTGGACCCTTTCTCTTTAACGCTTCCGATACAAGCAAAGCTCGAGGAAGCAACCCGTGAAACCATAGTCCTGGCCGGTTTCGATATGGCCTCACAACAGGATCTTCAAGAATTGCTGAGGGTCATCACCTCTAGGAAGGGAGTATCGGTGATGGCTGCAATGGGCCAGGTCAAAGCACTGCAGACAGTGGAGCTTCGGAGGTGTGTTGATCGAGTGCGTGGTTCTGCTTTTGATTCCGCCAGTCTCACGAGCATATGAATAGCATTCAGCAAATAAGCGACGCTTCGCTCGACCTGATAGAGCGTGGCCTTGGCGACTCAAAGACGGCCAAGGCCCTGCAGACAGCATGCAAGACTCACCTGAAGAGGGCAAGCACTAAAAGATCCGGGCATCATCTTACTTCTCCAAGTGAGAAGCGTCCCAAGGTCCATCACCCCAGCGACGACTCCGAGGGCCCAGCCCAACATCTAGAGGACACGGAGGGTGCCCTAAGTCTTTCCGTTGTTATGGACGAGAAGGAGATCGCCGGGGCGTCCATATACACCAATCGGGCGCCGTTGATGTTGGCCTTCGTGTTGGAACTTCTCAGACACACAATGCCAACGCAGCCTATGTCGAGTCGTCTCAGTCTAGCCCAGGCTGTTGTCAGCGCCAACTCAAAATCAAAGGCCATTAGCATTGGACTGGCCAAGACCGGGAACGAAGACGGCTCGTGGGGCGAAGGACAGCCAAAGGTCAACATCATGGGCAGAGCTATAGCTGTTCTCAAGAGAGGCGACTTCGATTTGCAAGGCAGTGGTTTGGCGGCTCCAGAATCTTCAAAATACGCAACAGATGATGGTCTGCAAGGCGGGAAGCCGTCAGAGTCATCAAAGCAACACCATGGCAGCGCTGCTTTCACAGAAACCCCGTGGTCTGCCAGCCGCCAGGTCACTTTCAAATCGTCCACCTTTGTTGCGCGGGTGGCAAATGTCGAGGACAGCACTCAGGCGTCAGGTCTCGTTCGTTCACTCCTACTATCTGAGCCACAACTACAAACGGCCACACATAACGCCTGGGCCTATCGAGTGAAGAGGCAAGGGCAAGGCGGCGGGCAAACCCAGGGATCGGGAGAGGTACGCGAGGCAAGTGAAGATGACGGCGAAACTGGTTGCGGCGAATTCATACAACGACTCATCAGGGAGGCTGGCATTGTCGATGTGATCGTAGTGCTGACCAGGTGGTTCGGAGGGGAGATGCTAGGTCCAGATCGCTGGAGACTGATGCGCAACGTCGTCACAGAGGCGCTTTCCCAGAGGCTACGACTCACACAGATCCACGGGGGATGTGACGATGTGGCCGTTTGGGCACTGGATCTTCAGAACACGAACAATGGATCCGGTAGCCGCAGGGCCAGCGAAACAAGTCGTAACGTCGTCGGAGTTCCGATACATCGTCCGGAACCAGCTCGGGCGTACCTACTCAAAAGTTTTGCTACCGGCCAATCTGAAGATGTTCCCATAGGCGATAGTTCCGGCGGGAATGCTTCCAAAGCCAAACAAAGGAAGATGAGCAAGTTGGAGGATGAAGCCGAGAGAATACGCAACCTAGGTCGCCTCCTCGGAGCTCTCAGGCTGCTATTCGATAGCTGGAGCAACCTTGGACCTCGTGAAATGGATCGCAAGGCATTCTCGTGGTATGCATCTATGAGACCAGAGGTACAGCCAGGGGTTGCAGGATGGGGCGCGAAAGGTTGGCTGAAGCTACATACGATACTTCAGCTACGTCGAGCTGACACCGAAAGTACGAAGAAATAAATCATCAAACCGGTAACATGCCGAGGCCTTCGGCAACCCAAAGCAATCACATTCGTTGTCACTATTGCAGGCCAACATTGGGTAGAATATATATTCGTTGTGCGATACCTAGCAGTGCCGCATATTTCCTACACGTACGGCTGCCCATATTTCAGCATCAACCGCGTTTTTGCCGAGGCTCTATTGATACTCATTCCTTCACGGAACTCCCATGGCATCGGGGAGTAGAGTTGAAAGACATGACCCGGCGGATGGTAGGTGCGGGACACGGCCCACACATTTAATTACTAGCTACAGGGTAAGGTAGGTAAGGTGGTGCACCTCTACGGATTCGGATATCTTATCAATAATCCCAGACCTGACCATAGCTTACTAGCGGGTCATTAAACGCTCCGGCTGTGCACACATACACACACACACATCGCCAGGCAAGGTCAGTATTTCCGCAATCTACTGCAGTATATTCGTAGATGTGGCATGGTGATACCTCGGGCAGCTGCGCCATGATCTAACACTACCGCAACTGGTTCCCGAAATCACCACCGCACACCTTGATACCGGCCCTGGCAGCGATTCCGAGTCATGCTACACCTTACAGTCGGCGCGAGCGCCCCTCGCCGGGCTGCCTGTAGCTTTCTGACAATATCTCGACGACTGGCTTCCAATCGACCTGCGGGCCATGGTCCAAGAGCTCCACGGCCGTTAGTCTCACCGCTCCCTGCCCAACACACATTGCTAATTATCTCTCAGCTACGCCTCTCGTCGTACCAATCAACTTCCTTCGAGTCCCCCCGCTCCAAATACTCTCGAAACAGCTGATGCCATCTTCAAGGCTAGGAAGATACCTTTGCTTGCCTCCGGGGTGGTAGCTCTGGGTCTCGGGATATATATCAGCCTTTTAGCATCCTCGTTCTATTCTTCGAGCTGCCACAAGGACTCAGAGCCGGCGCTAGATGCGATTCCGACAGGGCGACCCAATGTCTTCACCAAGGAATCGGCCAAGAAATTTGACCAAAGTCTCGAGGGCTCAGAGTGGTTGATGGGCATCACTTCTCTGCGGAAAAAGCTTGCTGTAGAGGCTTACGGACATGTGCTTGAAGTCGCCATGGGCACCGGCCGTAACCTTCCCTTTTACGACTGGAGTCATGTTCTCAGCTCTCCATCGAACTCAGCAGTCCAGGCACTTGCACCGCCAAAGCCCAACGCACAAGTATCCAAGACCGACGTGGTACCGATTATCTCTTATACGGGAGTCGACATTTCTGGTGAAATGCTTGGCGTCGCTGTCGAAAAGCTCGCAGAAACTGTGCCAGAGTTTTCTGGCATCGACCCTATAACCGAGAAGCAGACTGCGCCGTCTCCTGATGAGTGGAGTAATATCTCTTACCTCTCAGGTAGACTACGAATGTTCCGGTCAGACATTCACAAATATATTCCTCCTCCCCCTCAGCAACCTTGTCCGCAGGCTAAGTACGACTTTGTCTGTTCAACGTTTTCTCTGTGTAGTGTCCGCGACCCAGAACAAATGGTTCGGGATTTGGCCAGTAAAGTCAAGCCGAACACAGGCAAGATCGTCCTCGTTGAGCATGGTAGAGGATGGTGGGGATTTGTCAACGGGTTACTTGACAAGTCTGCAGCTTCCCATTTCCAGAGTGAGATTATTTCTTCCTTGGGGACTATCAGCACGAACTAACTCACCCACTCTTTCAGAATACGGATGCTGGTGGAATCGAGACATTGCTGAAATCGTCGAGAACGCCGCAAAGTCTACACCGGGACTTCAAGTCACAAAGGTCGATCGCCCGTACTTTACACAGCTTGGGACGACCTTGTGGATCGAGTTGAAAGTCTCGGATTCAAATGTGTCTTAGACGCGACACCTGGTCTTTCATCTACTCGCAACCGAAGAGTCATGATACACTCGCTGCAGTCCCAAGGTGGTCCGCAAGTTGGCGTCAACAGCTGACATTGGGGATTTGTACAGAAGGGGAGGTTTGTTTATTTCATTTCAATCATACCCGGCCAAATTTTGAGCTTTTTCCTCCCGGCCTAGATTCCCAAACACCAAGCCTGCGCAGACGTCCTTGGGACCAGCTGCCGTTACAACTGCTAATACAAAAAAAAGACATCCGCCCATTCCCTGATCGTACTCCCAAACGAAATCAACTTCACGCTGTTATCGTATGCCGTGGTTCCACTTTCGTTTTCGTCATCGTCCAGCAACGCCTGCCAAGTATCAAATCTCCCGAAAAGGAGTCCAGTCGATTTTAGGGTCGACAGATCAAGCCGCACCTGGCATTGGGTTGCCCCCAAAATCTTCAGTCGACACTTGATACGGTGAGATGGGACGTGGAGCAGGCCTTAGCTTCACGTAACATATCACGGCCGTTAACAAGAGTCCAGCAAACAGTCAAGCTCGTCAAGTTCAATGGTTTCAGGGCTATGATCCCATTCTAGGAGACCCCCCAGCTTGAACCAGCTGTCGCCGTCAGTTTCCTTTCTGGCGCTCGTCGGGACGGTTGCCTTAAAGGCTGGGCTCGTGATGAATTGATGCATGGATGCCAATCCGCTGTTCACGGCCACACTGTTTTTCTCGTCGAACATGCCATCATCCCGTACCGGTTCATAGGCATTGGCAGACTGTTCGCCATTGCCTGTCAAAGACATTTCGCGAGCGAGCTTGCGTTTCTGCAGACCGTCGGCCGTCTGGGTAAACTCTCGTTCATCCTTCTCCAGAGGGGGGGAGGCGCTGCGATGGCTTCTCGTGTACCGAAAACTGCTTGGTAGTGACCCAACGGGCGTAGTAGGCATGGCAAGGTCTTCGTCACCATCATCAAATTCAGGAGAGGAAAGATCGACCTCAGGGGACGGACTTAGATCCCGCCGGCGAAGATCGATGTCGTCACCATCGTCGGATCCAGATGCGATGCTAGATAGAGACGGAGAAATGACGGCGCGCTGAGCGAAGGCTGGTGAATCTGGAAAGGGCTGTCTTGGGCGCGTTGTGAGAAAGAAATATGTCCGGCGCGGGTGTATCTTCTCGAGTTCCTTAGCCATCGGGCAAGGTGTCCGGCCGCTCCAACAGGACCGCTTCAGGTAGGCGGAGAGGCGGGAGGAAACAATGGCGCAGGGATTTGCGGAGCTACGAATCTGTTAGAAAGTCGGTGACTACTGAGAATGGAGCTGCAGGGCTTACTTCTTGACAATTGGAATCTGCTGCGAAAGCACAGTTGCCAGCTCTCGCACCAGATGAGGTCGGTTACAGGTGGCCTGTAATTGGGCAATGGTAGCTTCTACAATCTCGTCGTTGATTCCCTCGATTTTCGTGTGAGTGGCAAATTCGGAGTCGCTGTGGGCTTCTTGCATCTCGACATTACTTATTGTCGGAGACGGCGGTGGCGTATGATCGAAAACAGCGTCCCCGGGACGCTTTTGTGATGTCTCCCCATGCGAGCGTTTTTGTCTCTTGTTCGGGCGCGCTACTGTTGTCGATGTAATCGTTACGCGGTTCCCCCCATTCTCGGAATTGCTTCGACTCGGGGCGGCGGTGGCCGAACTGCGACTTGAATGGCTCCCTGGAACGTGGATGCCCAGCGAAGGCAGAGACAAGGATTTGCGGCGAGTGTTGTATGGCATCTTAGCGACGACTGAACTTTTCCGGAAGAGATGGGATGTACGGATGGATATGGAAGGCGATTGTTATTTGGACAAGGTCATCCAGGAGATAGAGACGAGGTCACTTATGGCGATGGGAGAGAAGAGGTATTGGTAACATGCGTCCTCGTTTGTTATGGGGGGTGGTGGATGGGATTTGCACGCTGGGCAACGACAGAATACTGGGACGAGGGAAAGCTCGCACCCTTTTTTTTTTTTCATCCTTTTTTTTTTTCCTGGCTAGTCTCCACCTTTCCGCACGAAGGCCCCCCTGACCACATATGCAAGGGGTCCGATGAGGTGTGGAAAAGGCGAGTGCCCCACCCTGGCGTGCCGAGACTAAGGTAACCTTGCGTACGTACTGTGGAGCGCGGCTGGGTACCGTTCCTATACGTCAGAGGTACCTCTCCGTACCGCCCGTTCAAAAATATTTTAAACTGGGGACGGGTTTGGAATAACGCTCCCCGATATGTGATGTCCTACCATCCGTGAGATCGAATTACAGAAAGGCTGATTGGACAGTCCGTACGACACAGTTGGCACAGGACCGACCGGCTGGTGAGCACGTGAGCCGAAACATGCGGCACCAAACCCGAGTAGGAAACCTAGTGTTACGGCCAGCTAGTCGTAGGGGTAGTTTGCAGAAGTTGAGGCTGCGGAACTGGTAACAGTAATCGTAGTCGTGGAATAGTTCAAGGAAACTATGTCTGTCAATCGTAAGGGTAGGTAAGGCTTCGGTGATCAATCGTAGTCTTGTCAAGGTAGTAGCTGAAAGCGGATATTAATCCTGATATGAAGTTAATTGCTGAAGAAGCTATGGGAAGTCTGTCCTAGAGCCCGGCTCGAGTCCATCCTATATACAAGTCCTGATCCTGAACATATCCTTTGTTGCCTGATCACCATGTTCGTTGGTGATCACTAAGTGGATACTGGTGAGCGCTCACTTTGGTTGTTGATGATGATGATGATGTATTTAACGTCTGGTAACAAAAGGACGTGCCGGGCGCTATGCCGACATGGTCTATACTAATCTAAACTATATTACAGGCTACCGTCTTCACCTAACGTTCCTGTTCAATGACTCGGGCAAATTTCGGAAAAGAAATTGGTCTCCTCTATCCATTCGCATAGAAGAGAGGCTCCCTTAGCAGAACCTAACAAGAAATCAATGCTTGCTTTGGCCATACGTTGGCGGAGGTAGCGCGGTGTAGCCTTGCGTCCACGCTTGCAGAAGTAGAAATGGACTGGTGTCTTGGGTTTCCCACAGCTGCAGTTGAGCAACGCATCTTGATGAGCGAATCTCTGGTGGTATGCTGCAAAGTCTCCATGATGGGATCTTGCTGCGTATAGCCTTCCTAGTAAGTGCCGAGGGAGGCGGAGTTCGGGCGGCTTGGGGTGAAGAATTATCTCGAGGTCGGCATATTGCCGAGGGCATTGGGACCGCTCACTTTGGGTGATCACTGTGATCACCTTATCCTGTGCTCACTTTCCTTATCGTCACGTGACTTGTTCCATAGTTCTTCCGTTCCATGAGGAGTCACCTGAGTTCCCGGATTCTCTGCGTATATCAGGTAGATAGCCGCCGCAGGCCTGTGGGGCGGGCCCCCTGGCCTTGTTATGCATGTTGGGTTGTAACACCTAGCCTCTGAGACGCTACATTTATACGTCTATTATAATACTAAAAGGCGTTTAAATACGAAGATGACGTAGCTAGGTAATCGTAAATAGGTTATAGTTATTTAAGCTATTAGTTCGTTAGGCTATAGTATTCCGCCGTATATTATCGTCGTAGGCTAATATTACCTCTCTACTTAGTATATAGAAACAAGTCTCCTATGTAACTAGGTCATTATAACGTTTGAAAACGAATAGATAATAAATGAAAGAGGCCTAGATTAGCTCTAGCACTTTAATCGGTATATAAAACCGCATATAACTAGTAAATATCGCCTTCTTATTATTAATAGATATGAAAGTCACTACTCTACGGACTTTAAGATATATTGTAAGGAAAATAATATCGTTATACTCTATATGCCAGCCTATTTCGTCTCATCTACTTTAGCCCTTAGACGTTGGGTGTTTTGGGCCACTAAAGACGGCTTATAGTCGACAAATTAAGGATAAGATGCCCCGGGGTAACATATATATTACGAAGGAGGACTTCTTCCCTATATTTCGTATTGCTTTTACGTAAGCCCTAATAGTAAAAAATATCTAGGGAGATTTTAGAGGGGCTAGGCTTGTTCCTTTAAGTGTTATAAGTGTGCTTTCGAAGCTAGATGTCAAGTTATATACTCTAACGCCTCCAGGGACTCTCCTAGCAAAACCCCCAGCATGGACTTCTTAGATACCAAACAACCTAATATATCGTAATGCTCTTTTAAAGGTTGAGAATAAAACCCTTCGGGAGGAGAATAATTTACTTAGCCGACGGCGGAGATCTAAGAAAACTCGTCTTAGGTAAGGAGGTAGCCTTACTATAGCTGAGGTAGATGATCTTTGATTATAGAGAGAGGCTATAGCTTAGATTAAGGAGGAAACGCGCCGGAGTAGTGGCCGTCGGCCGAGGACGGAAACAGGTCAACGGCGATATAGCGTCTACGGGAATACTGGACAAATGCGCGCATATGTCTATTTTAGAGAGAAATGTCTAGAGAAGAGGATTATGGGTAGTTTTAATTAATTAAACTTTGTTGATGTTGATCAAGATTTACATACGTGGAGTGGTTGCTGTCGAGCGATCTGCTCGCTTGTCTGATCCGCTCGCTTATCATGTACGTTAAGTAGTAAGATATTACTACTTTATAAGCCTATATACTTTGACTAACTACTCTAAATCCTATTCCTTAAACATTTCTTTATTAAACTGATATATTTATGTGTTATAGCTAGTATTTCCGTAGGTATTATATCGCTGTTGAGCTATTCCCGTCCTTAGCCGGCGACCATTACCCCGACGAGTTTCCTTCTTTAGCTGGGCTGTAGCCTCTCTCTTCGACTAAAGGTCCTCTCCCTTAGCTATAGTAAGACTTCCTCCTTATTAGAGACGGTTTTTCTTAGCTCTCCGGCGCCGGCTAAGGAGGTTATTTTCCTCTTAAAGGACTCTAATCTTAGATTCTATTAAGGTAAGCTGATATATAATTCCTATTACCCCCTTTATAAACTGGTTAATAGTGTCCTTAATAGGCGTTGGGGAGCTGCTATAATGACGGGAAATTCGATCCTTAATTAAGGTAGACTAAAAAGTAGCCTTAGTTAGGTTATTTAGTATCTTAAAGTCGGTAGCGTAGTGACTTTTATACTTATTAATAAGGAGGAGGCGATAACTGCTAGTTATACCCGGTTTTATATACCGATTAAAATGCTAGAGCTAATCTAGTCCTCTTTTATTTGTTATCTAACCGTTTTTTTTAGATATTGTAATAACCTAGTTATATAGGAGATCGGTTTTTATATATTAGGTAGAAAGGTGATATTGGCCTATAATGATAATATACGGCGGTATGCTATAGGCTAACGAACTAATGGCTTAAATGACTATAACCTATTTACGATTGCTAAGCTGTATTTTTTTCGTGTTTAAATGCCTCATAGCACTCGTAACAACTATTCCGGATATAATCTGGCCTATTCTAAACCTAGTCTTATCGAAGTTATAGATATCCAAGTCTATAATAATGTATTTTATAATTATATTCGCTATGAGGCGAGACCATGCGTTTATCGCATCTATATCTCCGTATTAGGCCCTTTTATAGTTATATTTATAAAAAAGCGTATCTAGAGCTATGGTTATTGCTTAACGAAGTTCGAAGCCTAGCACTTACTAACTAGGAGCGTATTACAGTCGGTAAGTAATCGATTGGCCATTTCTTCTATACTAATATGAGGAGGAAACGATCGGGAATCTAAGTCGAGAATATACTTAACTAGCTTCCCCTTTTTAAACGTAGTTAAGTTCCGTAATTTAGGTATAGTATTATATTATAATAGAATGCCCTTTATTCGCCGATATAGCGTCCTAGAGCAGACTAAGTATATCTTAGCTACAGCCCGAGCGCTAAGATTTATGTTGTTTTTAATAGCTTGAAGGGCTAGTCATATTTGGGATTCTTTATTACTTAGCGCCTTAGTTTATTATAGAAGAAAAGTCATCGATTACGTTGTTATATTATAGCTGCAGTTGGTTGCGACACTCGCTCATTGAGCAGGTTATTGGAAATACCCTTATTACCGCCGTTAAGAATAATATAGCCGCTATAAAACTAGTTTAAAAATAAAACTTATTAACTCTCTCTTATATATACTACATACTATATATTATATAACTATTGTATATTGCATTCGTTATTTTATTCTTTTATTGAAATTAACAACCGCTATTTAAATATAGTATTTAAATATCAAATTTGTAATTTATTAATCTATAAAGATACTTTAAAGACTGATAGTTTAATTTTGTTGACATTATACTTAATAATTCCGAGCTATAAAAAGGTTATTTCAAAGAATATAGGTTATAAATTATTAATTTAAAGATCCGAGACGATGATATTATTAATAATATTATAATTATTAATAACGTGGTTTACCAGTCAGTGACGTACTCTTTTCAAGACGCGCTTTATTTCCAGCCACTTAAACCATTAATGCGTAATAACTCAGTAACCGTAATGCTAATTTATACCTAAGAAGACAAGATTATTCTTGCTATTGAGGCGATCCGAACGACACGCGCTGTAGGCTAGAAATTCAGTATACGACGTACTACGAAGATATATAGTATCCCCGAAAGCTCCCTACGCTATAGGATGAATAATTGACTACGCCGCGACCGTACCTGGCCCTAACGATATAAACTCGATCTAATTAAAGAGAAAATACTTCTCCGATATATTAATGAGCAGGACTCTAGAGGATCTCTTTTATAACTCGCTGGCGTAAAAGATATAGCTAATCTCCTACTCCGGGTATAGAAT